GRAWTATTKKGRAAAATGCATTTTTTTGTGAGGAATGATAAAATAAATCTGAGGCTGTCTYCATCAGTGCTGTAGTTTAGCTCAAGGGAGCATTTTCATAGCACGTCTGTTTGGCTCATCTTACCATATCTGGTRCCCATCACAGAGCTGCCATGGCAGCAAACTGGGCACTTGGGATGAGAGGAAATAGAAATAACCCACCTGGAAATAGAAATAACCTTCCCCAGGTGTGTGCAGTGGGCAGTGGGGACTCACCATCAGCAGTTTCACTCTGCACATGCTCTCCCATTGTGTCACCAGCTCACGTCTGGTGGTAAATTGAGCCCCAAACCCACCTGAACTCAGCCAGTTCCCTTCCACCTCTGCAGTAAGGGATTGTACTGAGGGACCAAAGAGAGGAAATGCAAAATCATAGGGAGGTTCAGGTGTTCCCTGATCTGCAGGTGTTGGAGTGGTTTCACAGCACCCAGCCAGGTCCCTTTTTGTAACAGCTTGGTCTGTCTTCATCTGTYTCTGCTCTCCAGGCTGTTCACGAGTGTTGCATTAAACAAACATTGGCTCAACTAAAGGAACAAATGAGGAAAAACAGAAAAAGTTGGAAAGAATYGGAAAAAATTTTATTGTGTGGAGATGGCAGGAGAGAAAACAAATTTCCACGTCTCCACATCCCTGCTCTCAAGTAGATGTCCTATTTGCTATTAAAGCCCTGMTTTTTCTTCTAGGAATTCTGTTTCWTTCCCATTTCAGCTGGGTAGGTAATGCATGATTTTGGCATTGCCTTGATTCATGCTTGCTGTAGAAATGGAAAATGGAGGTTCCAAAGYCCCTGTGGCTGAGAAAGGCCAAAAGCCTGCGTTTCTGTCCTCCTGGTGAATAGGCAGTGCACCAGGACAAAAAGTGAGAAGAAATAAAAATTTTCCATAGCAACAAGAGAGGAGATTCAATCCCAAGCCTGGGTAAAAGCTGGTCACAGGGAGTCACTGTGAAATGCTGTGACTTTTCCCTTTTCCAGAGTGGCACCACCCAGGCTGACCAAGGTGGCAGAGGCTCCGTGTGCTCTGCCCTGAGGGTGTTTGCAGCTCAGACTGGCGAGCAAAGGCTTTTCTGAGCAGGGCTGCACTTGCTGCTGTAGCAGCTCCAGTTTTCCCATATTTTTACGTATTTCCCGTATTTGCAAGGTTCATGAC